CCTTAGTAAATTTTAAGGTTATTCTAAATATTACCGTTACAAATAATTTTAACTTTAACGGTAACCGGCGATATGGTGCAACTCACCCTTAGTATTACAGGTAAAATTAAGTAACAAGTTACCGGTGAGTTCTGGACGCCATATCCACACATGATGTTGACGAGTCCTGAGGAGATGTCCGTGGCGTTGATGCAGCATGAGAAGGGGACTCCACAACGTTCTACTGAGGGTGAGGAGCAGTTGAAGTATTCATTCTTGGACCAGTCCATGTAACCATCAGAGGTCAATCCGCAGCACTGGAACTGAAGGTGTTGTTATTGAGTAGAGGCACTTCAGTTCTGCATTTTTTTGTATATATTTTATTATTTATTATATTGCAGTGTTTTTGAGCTGATTAAATGCTTATTATCTTACTGAATAAATATGACCTGTGTTGCTCACTGATAATGTAGCTTTTTAATGGTGAAAGAATTGAAATTGACCCAGTAGTTTTTGAGTTTGATAAATACAAAAATACAAATCTTTCCTATTTATATTAGTACAGACGATTAAGCCCACGTGAAATTAAAAATAAAATATAGCCTACGTTACTCACTGTTAACATAGCTTTTTAATGTTGAAAGAATTGAAATTGACCCAGTAGTTTTTGAGTTCAATACATACAAAAATATAATTCTATTCTCTTTATAATATTAGTATTAATAAATGCCAATTCTTATGAAATTTTGTTACCGCATATTTCAAAGCGTTTTTAAATTAGACTACATGCATTTGGTTGATTTTCATTCAAAAAAATTAAAGTGAAACCTGACATTTGTGCTAACAAGTACAGTTTAGAGTAAAAAGTCACATTTTGTGTAAATAAATCTAAATAATTTAAGAAAAAAAAATCACTTATAGAACTAAGAACTTCTGTCCCTGTTCCCTTTATGAAAACAAAACATAGCTAAGGGAGTTTAATTTCCTACCCTACCTATAAACATCACCTATAGAACTAAGCACTACTGTCCGCGGTCTATTCTGATAAAAACAAAACATAGCTAAGGGACTTTAATTCCCTACCCACTATTTAAGCAGTATACTTACATCACTCTGTGCGAAATCAATAAAGTTCTGTAGATCTGGGTCGTCCCTGTATGCGTGCACGACGCGCTCCGTGAAGCTCAGCTCTAACAGCCCGTGCAGGCTGCGGGGGAACACGAACCCGCACACCGCACCGCCCATCTCCACCAGGAACAGTATCAGCAGGCATAGGGAATACTGGATACAACGAAGAGACAAGACAAGAAGAAATCAGTACTGCTCAGGACTGGCGCAACACTAGATAATTGGGAATATGCCTGTGTTTTTTTCATTTTTTATATAATAATAAAATAAAATAACGACTATTTTCGAGCGCCTAAAACGCGACCGGAGTTGTCATGAGACAATTGACGTCAATGGTCATATTCCATTCATAACATACGCTATTACGCTTTTTGAGAACCCTTTCATTAACCATAATTAGTTACAGATAGGATAGTACCAGAACAATAGAAGTCTACGGTTATTAAGTTGAGTTGGAAATTTATTTCCTCCTCCATAACATAAAATTTTAATTTTTTTTAGCGAGTTAATTACATTATTCCATATCGTCCGTTGTATAGTATATAATAATCATCATTCATTACCTGCTAAATTGTATCGAAATCTCTAATTTAAAAATATCTAATTTGTATCGATACGGTTAGCAGTAAGAAAACTCTATTAGAGTTATGCTCGCCTGTACAACCAACGCTCAACATGTATTTTTTTTTTTGTGATTGTTTTCCTTGTGTACAAAGTGTAAATAAATAAAATAAATAAATAAACAATACTTACAAATTTCAACAAGCACGTATTCTCTCGCAAAGCACCGACGCAACCAGCGAAGCTCACAATAAACACGACGCCACCGAGCAACGCGATCAGCAGACTTATGTTCAGCATCACATCGTAAATTGTATCCAACTGGAACATAAAGAGTTTCCGTTGACTAAAAAATTGCACAAAAACATATTAGATATACATTTAACTTCGCTATGTTTTGACATTTTAACTGAAGAGTAAGGGCCTATCCCACGAAATTATAAATCGTCTGATAACAATCTAACGTGTAAAATATGCGATGGAAATATCGGATTTTATCCCTTAACTCACTGTGACGTTATTTTTAAGCTATCAGAGCCTCTATCAGCCAGTGGTGGAACAGGCCCTAAAACTGTTAAATTAAAACTGGGTGTGTCGACAAAATCTTAAATCAAAATGTTAACGCACACACAGTTCGACCGTCTCATTTAAGACTATTGTAATTGAACTGTTAAGTTGCAACTGTCAGTTGGAACATAGCGTGTGTGGCATCGTGTGTGTTATTTGGTATAGAAAATGATAACGATACCACATTTTTGTGTAGTAATTTTAACATTGATTAAATAAATAAAACTTCGTTAATTTTTATTCTTTATCTTGTCCAGATGATTATTTGAGGTTATGTTTACAATAGTGTCGAGACATAATAACGTTAATTATAACTTGGTAACTATACTAATATTATAACTCAAAAACTACTAAGTCGATTTAAATTCTTGTTCCACTAAAAAGCTACACTATCAGTAAGTCACATAAGCTATGTTGTTTTATTATTTTTTTAATATCACGAAGTCGCGAGCAACAGTAATTAATAAAATCAATATGAGAATATTAACTTCAACGTGGTTACAAAATTAACACAAAAGACCTCGATCTTTTATTCAAGTAAAGAAAAAGTAAATATTTTCGATGCATAAAGGCGCGAATGATGTCATGCAAGTCGATTGGCATACCTTTTAAAGTCGAGAATCAGAACAACTTTCCATGTTATGCAAAAACCTGCCTTGTGATATAATTTAAGAGCAACGATCACTTACAAAGACAAAGATTTTTATCACCTTACTAATATAAATCCTAAGGCCCTGTCTCACCACTGGCAGATATAGGCTCAGATAGCTTAAAATGACATCACTGTCAGATAAGGTAAATCTGATATTACCATCACATATTTTACACGTTGGACTGTTATCAGACAATTAACAATTTGGTGGGATGTGCCTTAATCCTTACTAATGGACAGAAGGATGTTTATTAGTATCTGTAGCCTAAGAGCGGGCGCACACCTTTGACTAAACTATCGCACAACTCTTGCACGATTGTCGATTGTTTTGTAGCCCATTCAACTGTTTAGTTGACAACTAAAATCGAGTAGTGTGCGCGCCTCTGTAGGAATCAAACTAGACTAAACAGTTCTGCTATAGTTTAGTCAAATGTGTGCACAAGCTCTAAACTGAATGGATTTCGATGAAATTTGGCACAAAGTAGAACATACACTAGAAGAATAGATGGACTACCTACTTACTTTGTGTTCTTTTTTAATTCTGCGCGTACAGAATCATACAAGCAGTCATATAGAGACATAGAGGAAAACGGGCATATTTATTAAACGTCGTTTAAAATTAGAACATGATAATCGACAGGCCATGTATAAGTTCTGTGTATTAAAATTACATTATTACTATTACAAAAAATACTTACCCAGCGTTTATCTACCTACCACAAAAACGATAACGGCACAGCAATACGTGTGTCAAGGTCATGGAGTTCTATGTTAACATTGTTCCATATATATGTGAAAATTTATTCACTAGATATGGCCTGTGACTTTATAGCGCGGAATTAAAGAACTTAGAATTACTCTACGTGTTTCAAGACTATATTCTACATCTATGCTTAATTTCACTAAGATCCATGAAGTCATTGTGAAAATAGCAACTAGCTTCCGCCCGCGACTCTGTCCGCGTGGAAATAAAAAAACAGAAGTAAGTAGCCTTTGTTCTTCCAGACTATCCTCTACATCCATACCAAGTTTCATCGATATCTGTTCAGTCGTTTAGGCTACAAACTCTAACAAACATACATCCATCCATCTAAACTTTTGCATTTATAATATTAGTATGATTACCTTTATTAGTCCAGTTGCTTGCCATTTATCGATGAATGCATAAAGTCCTACAGCTATCATCAGACCTCCAAATAACTGAAAACACAAGTTTAGTTGTCACCATCACACATCTATACTAATAGTATAAAGAGGAAAGATTTGTATTTTTGTATGCATTGAAATAACTGAAAAACTACTGGATATATTTCAAATATTCTAACACCATTAAAAAGCTATGCTATCAGTAACTGCCGACAGGCTATTTTTCTTATTATTTTTTAATAAATGTATGTTAGCATGTTTAAATGTAGAAACCACACCAAAGCCTGTAGTCTCTGCCTATCCTTCTTGGTTGCAGGCATAAGTTACTTTGCTTCTGAGTAATACGTAAAGTAAGCCTTTTTATTTAATTAATGTTACCTAAATAAAACAAATTAGGATGCTGGACAGACCTTTGACTAAACTATAGCACAACTGTTTAGTCTTGCTATGATTCCTATGAGCTTATATGAAGCTTAGTGAGGACCCAACCGGGTCAGCATTGCAATGTTCATTTTAAATATTTCTTTTCTCTTTTAATTGCATATTTACTTTTCTTTGTTTTTTGTTAGTTTAATTGTATTGTAGCATTGATAAGGATTAAATATTACTTTATTTTATTTTATACGAGCTGTTGCCCGCGACTTCGTCTGCGTGGTATTAGAAAACGAACTATATAAATTACAAAAAGCTACGTATCCCTCGGGAACCGGACATTTCTTGGGGATGAAGCTTATCCCATGTGTACTCCAGACTTTATTTTATATCTGTGCCAAATTTCAATAAGATATGTTGAACCGTTGCAGAATGATGGAGTAAACATTGAAATACTAAATTAATGGATCCCACGGGAACCGTAATATAAATTAGCCTATGTGTTCTTCCAGACTATGCTCTAAACCTGTGCTAAATTTCATGGAGATCCGTTCAGCCGTTTAGGCTACAAACGCTAACAAACATCCATCCATCCATCTAAACTTTCGCATTTATAATATTAGTAAGAAGTAAGATTAGTAAGATAAGAAGTAAGATGGAGGTTACACTGCTCAATTTTTATTTGTGCAACTAAACAGTTGAATTGGCTGCAAAACAATTGACAATCGCACAACAGTTGTGTGATAGTTTGGTCAAAGGTTTGTCCATTCTAAAGATCATTGCTAATTGTCAATTTATTAAACACTTTATGTTATTGCTTTAACTACAAATATAACTTATGTTATTGTTCAAACATCATTGAATCCAAAGTCATTCATCACAATGATATTTTTATTACCATTCATAAAAATCTCAATGTCATATTTTATAACCAACTTTTGAACTATGGGCATCACCAGCGGTACGGTACTTTCAATAGGACCATATAATTCCCCCTTCCTAAACCTAGTCTACAAACCTTAAATATATAACTTGCATGCAAACTTCTTATATGCAATCCAAATTAACCATAGATAATATGCACATTTTCCCAAAACTAAGAAAAAAATCATAAGGCACTGTCCCACCAAATTGTATATTGTCTGATAACAATCCAATACTATGTACTACACTACAATACAATGATGAATTAAAAAAATTAATTAAATACAGAATAATGAAAAATGTAATTAATAAATTAAAAAAAAAGAAACTTCAAAAATAAATGTTGCAATGCTGACTGGATTGGGTCCTTGCTCAGCTTTAAATGCTGGATGCACCTAATTGAAGTACCTAGTTCTGATCATTAGGGAGAACCCTTGGGATTATCTGACCATGAAGTCATTTTTAAGCTATCTGAGCCTCATCAGCCAGTGGTGGGACAGGCCCTTATTATTTTTAATAGAACACTTTGTCACATAACATAAAAGGCAAATATCAGTATCAATGTTACTTGAAATTTTCCTGTTTACTTCATTCTCGCTTTTAAAAATGATAGATAACATGGTCTCAATTAATTTAGGAGTTATTTGTTCTTTGATTTCCAGTTATTTTTATAGTTAAATAAAATACTATTAGTGAATAATTGACTTATACAAAGTATGTACGATTTATACACATTTACATTCTAAAATTAATTTTATTATTGTTGATATTTTTTTTGGCTTTTTGGCTAATAAGTCTGCTGACCACTGTGATAGAACATAGAGGAAGATGATATTGCCCATCACTGTTAACTGTTTTCTTTTTTTGTTGTGTTTACTTTACTTGTTTTAGTTTGTCTTTCTATCATGTCACATTTCGAGAAATCGGTATAGTATTTGTGTAGGCATTTTAGACAAGTTAAAAAAAAACTGCCATATACGAACAAATTTAAATTGAAATCTAGCTGATAACAGCTATACGAATATTTTTTAGCAATCGCAATTTAGTAAATTTGTTATAAATTATCTGGTGACAGTGGTTTAGGGTCAACGATAAACAAACGGAAGCTTGTAACTTAATGACATTATTATAATGCGTATCAGTGTACAATATGTATATGAATGCAAATACGCTGAGAAACAATGAATCACTCCTGATTTTAACAATGGACGAGATCTAACATTTTGTTCATTTCAGATGAGAAAAGAAACGTTTGTAACTTAATGAATTTACAAAATAGTAAAAAATCAAATATAAATGTAAAGAAACTCACCCAAAATATGAAATTCAAAATAAAAATCATATACTTCACACATCCGCTAACATAAGTAAAATTTGGACCTCGACGCCTATGCATTTTTTTAAAATAATTCTATCAACACTTACAATCAAATTAATACTTTTATTTTTAACTGAATGATAAATGTATTTTAAATATTTATATTTTCATTACTAAATAAAAACATAAATACAAGACAAAGTTCGACCCCGCCTCCGCACTGCTCCGCACAGCAATAGTCATGTGTAATTTAAAGCAGAAAATTAGCTCTCAACGGCTCAAACTTCAGGTCACATTAGACTCGAAGCGTTGAGCTACCACTCAAAAAGTAAATTATGAGGCTAGAGCTCAACACGGTGTTTTGTCATTTTGACCAATGAGGCGTGATCTATCCGGTGAGTCGCAGAGCAACCACGGTTTGTTAAATTGCATGTTGAAGCGTACCCCGAAACTAATTTAAGCTGATCTACGAGCTGGGTAACTGATCATGAGCTGCATGAGGTGTTCATTAATTTTAGTTGCGACATCCCCATGAAGCAACCATCGACTTCTCGGGTGTTGCCATTGCACGAATCTGTCCATAGTCAATTGGAATCTATTCAGTTTTCGGGCTGGCTACATTTTTCCTACGTTATTGAATCGAATACATAGATGTCGCTTTCATCGAAAACGTACACTAGAAAGTTATTTAACTTGAATGTTTGGTACTTAAATTATATAATAGATGGCACTACTGGCTACGGTTTTTATGTTTTTTGACCATGGTTTTTATAAATGGAGGAAGAGAAAAGCCCTTGAAGAAAAGTAAATTCACTCAAAATGAAGACTTTTTATTGGGATAAAACGTTATGTGTAAAACCTTGTTTTTAATAAAACAACATATTTTTACAACGAATACATCTTACAAGAGTTTCCTAACTAAACTAGACTGTTCTTTAAAATTTAATGCACGACGTGTTCTCTTCCAGAAATAAATTTAATATAGGAGTTTGGATCTTGGCTCTCTTTTATTACTTTAGTCAGTTTGTGCCTCGCAAGCCAATGTCTTCAAGTACGAACTTGACATGCTTTTAAAATAAATATAAAAACATATTTAGGCTACTATTTAATATCAAAAAAGATTCATGGGTGATCAAAAAAGATTGATGGAAGCAATTCTTATAAGAAAACGATGTAAAAACATGATTATTTCATTTACTTAGTTAAAACGAGTCATATTAATAAAAAATAGTTAAGCTAGTGATACCAAAACGCTACTAAACATTTTATTTTCGTAATAAATATCTCACAGCATTCAGTTCTTCGAGAATTAGTCTCATTATTTGGAGTCAATTGATTACGTGCCTCGATTGAGAAGATAAATATAAAAATACCAGAGCAAGCGGCCAGACCTCACGTTCCAATAATTTATTTTACAATCCTACATAACAGCTATTTCAAATAAGAAATTAGAAACACACTAGCTTTCGCCCGCGACTCTGTCAGCGTAGAATAAAAAAATGGATGTAGCCTACGTTTTTTTCCGGATTATTCTCTACATCTATACCAAATTTCATCGAAATTCATTCAGCTGGTTAGGCTACAAACTCTAACAAATATCAATCCATCCATCTAAACTTTCGCATTTATAATAATAATAAGTATCAATTCAGATTATTAATTATTTTACAAATGTTTTTGTTACGTACAGAAATTAATGTGGTAATATTTTTTTAGAATTACTGTATTTTTTCTAATCTAATCGTTTATATCTGATCTTATTATGTTCTACCTAATCTTTACAGATGTAAGTTTCAAATGTGATGGTGCGTTCCGCGCCATGTTGTGACGTAATAGCTGTCAAATCGAAAACAAATAAAATCCACAGATAATAGTAATATTTATGTGAATTATTATAATTACAATAACAATAAATATATAATCAGTTTCAAAAAACATAGTAACATGATACACTTGAACAAAAAAATACAAACGAGAAAAAAAGAAAATTAACCATTAATAATCAAAACTAATGACAAGAAAATTGAAGAAAAAAAAACTGAATATACTTTTTACCTATGCCTTGCAATACAGAACTGATAGGGTCTTTCCTCAGCTATGTATGTATATGTTTAGTGCCCCTTTGTGTATAAATATATTATTTTAATTAAAAAATCTGTTTTATTGAGTAATTTTTGACAGACCTAATTGCCCGCAACTCATTTTTCTTAAATTACAAACATAACTGTTAACTATTGTTTAAAAGTAATTTGGGCACAATCCTTTGTTTTCATTTCAATTGTTAATGTCCCTATTTTAGAGATAAGGCGGACACTTTCCCGCGGGAGCAGTCCGAGTTTAAAGTATCGTTTAGATTCTAACTTTCGTCATTAGATATCAAGAAAGTATGGAAAAGTAATTTTAAATCTTGAACTTTTTGTTTATCTTTGCAGTTTAGTATGAATTTAAGTGCACCCGCCGTTCACCTTTATAAACAATAGCTGTTGCTCGCGACTTCAGTCGCCTAGAATTAATTAAAAAATTTAATTAAAAAATTAAAGAATTTTTAAAATCGGCCCAGTATTTTATGATTTATTTCAATACGTACAAAAATACAAATCTTTCCTCTTTATAACACTAGTACCTATAGACTAGACAGGCCAAAGTATTTTGTGCGTATGTAATTTTTGCCATTTTACCTGATGGCAGTGACTTATCTATGCATATCTATGTCTATACTAAAATTATAAAGAGGAAAGATTTTTATTTTTGTATGTATTGAAATAACTCAAAAACTATTGTGCCGACTCCAATAATTCTTTTACCATAAAAATCTACGTTAACATTGATCAGTGAGCAACAAGGGCTACACTTTTTATTGCTTTTTCAATTTCTAGTTCTATATTTTATGGCACTCGCGAATAACGTTACATTTTGCAAATTAAAATATTTAATTTTTAATTTTAAAATAAATGGATAAAAGTTTAACGCCCAACGTGGGGCTCGAGCTCGAACCCACGACCCTGAGATTAAGAGTCTCATGCTCTACCGACTGAGCTAGCCGGGCTGGTGGATTAAACATTTAAATCATCCATTCCTAGCTGTTCTTCTGCGGCTTAATCTGCATGGAATTCTAAAAACTTTATTGTTTACATTTGTCAAATTCTCAATCGCTTCCTTAATGTTGGCATCTTTAGTTTATGGTCCTCGTATTAACACCTAATCTGGATAGCGTGAAAATAAATAGCCTGAAGCGTATCGTAAGTGGAGGGCTTTTTATGAAAGAGAGAATTATTTAAAAATTTTCTGTGATTGCTGACATCCTACTCCACAAAGTAGTGTGTGTTTACGCTTTATTATATTAGTATGGAGCATAGATAAAGATTAAAATAAGAGCTTCAAAGTACAGAAAGTACGATTATATTATGACCTCAAATGCTAAACAATCCGAAACGTATTGGGTTTGGGAAAAGGGACGTTTAAAGTTAGTTAGAAAATGTTAAAGTCTAACAGAGCGTAAATAAAGTGAATTAAAGCAAAGTGAACTAAAGCGTCGCTAAACGAAGAGAATTGAACGGGATTGCATTGAATTGAAGCGAAAAACGAAAGCAAACGAACCAAATTGTCGAATCGTAATGCTTTATATTTACTGTAGCGTTCAAAGTTAGTAATTGTTTCTTAAATGAAATTCAGTGACCTACTAAAACTACACTAAAAGGTTACTTAAAGACTTACTTCGGCAGATAGAAACTTAACTAAATAGTATCTAATTACATTTTAAATGTCTAATTAATTTTTTATGCTTCTATTCTAATGTAATAAAGCGTAAACACACACTACTTTGTGGCGTAGGATGTCAGCAATCACAGCATTTTATGAAAAATTCTTTCTTAAATAAAAAGCCCTACACTTACAACACGCTTTAGGCTACATATTTTCACGCTATCAAGCCTGGGGGGTACATTAATTGGAAAAAACCTTCACGTGGGAAAGGGACCATAAACTACAAGCTGCCGACATCAAGGAAGCAAGGTTGCCATGGTTGTTATTTGTGCGTTTGAATTTTGATATTGGCAATTGAGAACTTGATAAATGAAACAATAAAATGAAGTTTTTATAATTTCACGCGGATAAAATCGCACGGAAACAGCTAGTCCATATATAAATTTATTTTTAGTATCAAGGCATTTAGTATTGTAATCAGAAAAGCAATAAGGGCTATATTTTATTTATTTTTTATTAATAACTTTACTTATTAATAAAATGGGTAGGGTTAGGACAAATCTCTGGTAAAAGTAAATCCCACGAGTCACCCTAACGATATAAAAGAACCGCTTAAACTAAAACTTTTCCCATTATGACGTTGAAGTATTTTCATATACCCTAAGGATAGCTTACATTTCTCTTTTAAATCATTTTTTTTATAATATAAGGAGGCAAACGAGCAAGCGGCCATCTGAATCCACGGAAATGGAAAGAAACCGCTGCTAATAAACATTCGCAATTGCAGATGCGTTGCCTACCCTTAATTGACGAAGGAAACACACATAAAGAGGATATTTCCCCTTCCTATGTGGCTCCCCCACTGTCAAATCCACTTTTAATGTTTACATTTTAAGTTAAAAATTGTACGTACTTTTAAGACATAGGAGTTTAATTTCAAATACAACGAATGCTTGCACAATTTAAGATAACAGGTTATAGTGAGAAATGTTTGTCTATACTCTATACTAATATTATAAAGAGGAAAGATTTGTATTATTTTATGTATTGGAATAACTCAAAACCGACTGGGCTGATTTAAATTCTTGAACCATTGAAAAGCTATGTTATTAAAAATAATAACATAGCTTTTCAAATGGGAATGAAAAGGCTATATTTTTTTAATTTGACGCGGACGACGTTGCGTGCAACGACTAGTAACAAATGAATTGAAAATCTACTGAACAGATTTCTAAAATTCTTCATAGAATATTAGTTACATTGTTTCTGAGTAACATCAGTTAATCATTTAACAGTGGTAGTGCCCGCTTTAACA